TCTCTCTCTCTCTCTCTCTCTCTCTCTCTCTCTCTCTCTCTCTCTCTCTCTCTCGGAACATTAATATAATAAATTTGTGAATTATAAAACGTACGTGTACTAATGTATAATAGATCAATTGGGCTAATTAAGGGACCATACCAATTAGTAACTGTAATTAAGAAGAATTAATCTCGATCGATTGTAAAAAGGAAAAAGAGAAGAGTTAAATTGGAGTTGAACAGTACTAGATACTGTTCCAGGACCCACGTTTAAATTACGGCTAACGCGGTGAATAAAGTTTTCCGTAATTTTGCTACCGTCGAAATTCGCATAAGGGGTTGTCGTAATTTGTAATGACCATAACTGTGTTACTAACAATTTTACTGCTACGATTCACGAGTTTTATTATGCTCGTTATATGCAGTTAGAATATCAACGGAACTGAGAATGCTTGCGCATTTATGGCTTTGGTAAACACTGGCTGAACATGGTTCCGGTGCATGAAAATTTATTAGTCTTACAATCAAGTTTATTTGGTTATACGTCGGTATCATATTGCTCACGGTGAGAATTCCGGGATCCACCGAAATAAGAATACAATAGCGCATCAGAAATACGAGAGAATTCATGAACGTGATAAAATCTGTATAATAAGTTCTTCAATAATATGATCAAAATGATATAATAAATGTGACGGTGCAATAAGAATAATACGATCAACGAATTTAATAATACAGTAGTATAATAAAAATAATATAATAATATAATGACCTAGTAAAAATAGTNCAAAAGCATGATGTCCGCGTTTCCGGTCCGCATCGGCGGACGCCAGTCAAAAATCATCGCCCGAAAATACAGAGCGATCGACAGATTGTTTGCAACGGTGCTGAGCTGATCGAAGTTGAGGGGAAACTCCAGGCCGGAATTCTTTTCAAACAAGATCCTCGAGTTCCTCAGCTCCGCCATCAGAATCTCGCCGAGTTTCTCGAAATCGTCGAAACCATTTTTCGATAGAATAAACGAGCACCAAACCCGTCGGATCTCGGCGTCCTCCATTGATGATCTCTCGTAGAACTCGAGCAAAAGAAGTTTCAGAAATTCCGACGTGTTTGTCACCGGATGCTGCATGAACAGACCTTCCAGATCGATTTCCTTCGTGCCGGTCCTGGAAACGATGACGGAGAAGCAAATAGAATTTTCTGAACATTTCTTGGCCGAGAACGACAGCCATTTTCCGAACGGTTTTAAATAAATTTGAAACTGCATCACCGCGGAGTACCTGGAGATCCTTTGAATTGCATTTGCAATTGCATTAGCTACTCCAGGTTAAACGTTTCAATCCATTCCGTTAGCCAAAAGTAAATTTTGTAAGGCTCGGTTTGTTATATTTTTATTCTGTACGTGTTTGAAATATAAATGTTATTTATTCCTTTTTAACGGATACAGCGAAAATTGTTTTCAGTCAGAGATGAATTTTCATAGCTTTTTGTCTCGGGGCTGGGGAGAAATAGATTTTTGAAATGGTTCGTATCTTCTCAAGTAATACAGAATTTGGCAAATAAACTTTCTTTGAAATGGTAGTTACATATGGAAATTGCATTTTCAAATATATACATATGTAATTACTATTACAAAAAAGGTTTATTCGCTATTCTGTACGATATAAGGAGATACGAATATGTATAGTGCATTTACTATTTCAAACATCTATTTTTTCGCAGCCCTGCTTTCTATTCATTAAATAATATTCGAATCTTTATCTAGTACATTTAAGATGTAACATGTTGTTCCTTCTTTCAATGGCTACAGTAAAAATTGTTTACAAAGCAAAGATGAATTCATACTTTTCTGAACATTATTTGAAATATTATTTCTCCATTTAATGACTTCAGTGAACATTGTTTCCAGTCGAAGATGTTTATACACTTTTCTGTTAGCGAAGCAAAAATAAAATAGTTATCAGATTTCAATCTTACAAATTTATGTTTGAACAGATGATATTTTTGTAGATCACTTGAAACAGAAGAATGTATTTTTTTCCTTCTTGCATTGATCACAATACTTAAGATTCTTTTAGTTCTTCATTTATAATGCCGTGACTTCCGTTAATATTCGGACACTTTTCAAAACGCAATAACTATTTTAAAACTGGACTAAACGATTTGTATTTTTCTTTTTTAGATGATAGAGGGACCAGTCTACTAGACCACAATTAGAATTCTTTTTTAAATTTTTTCTATTGCTTAGAATGACAAAAGAAAATAAAGAACTATCGTTTTAGTAACTTTTCTATCTGAACCTATAACGAAAATTTAAAAAATGTGTTTTGCAGAGCTGGCTGAGTTATACGCATGTTAAAAATTTCACCGAAATCGGTTGACCCTGGTACGAGCTGTAAACAATTAAAGACCGCAAGAATCGCGGACAAACAATTCGAATCGTTTATTCTAGTTTGAAAAAAGTGATTACGTTTTAAAAAGTGTCCGAATATTAATGGGAGTCACTGTAAATATATGAGCCGTTTATTTTGAAAGTGGCATAAGTCACTTTGTTTTTAAATCGATATATTTAAGGGTTTGTGTTTTAACACGTTTAAAAATATGGATGCTAACTTTCGAGAAGATTTACTTGTATTTGTTGTCTCAGGATACTGAGATATTTTTCTCAGTATAAATAATTTCGTATAAACATTAAGAAATCATCACTTTTCATTACGGTAAAGTGACTTATGCCACTTTCAAAATAAACACGGCTCTTATCATAATAAGTACCGCTAAACTTAGTCTCTGTTATAAGACCTCAGCATATCCACTTCAGGACTTATCTCACTATATTCCTTTTTAAAGAATTTAAATATAGAAAATCTTACAAAACATGTATAAAACAACTTCCATTAATCATGTCAAAAATAATCACTCATTGTTATTTGTGTGTCAAACTTTGATACTGTTCTAAGTCTTAAAAGTTTCCTCTTTAGAACTTGCTATAGTTTTTGACAATAATAGGATCAATATGACAACCAGATATGAGCCGTTTATTTTGAAAGTGGCATAAGTCACTTTGTTTTTATCTCGGTCACTTTGTTTTTAAGTCGATATATTTAAGGGTTTGCGTTTTAACACGTTTAAAAATATGGATGCTAACTTTCGAGAAGATTTACTTGTATTCGTTATCTCAGGATACTGATATTTTTCTCAGTATAAATAATTTCGTATAAATATTAAAAAACCATCACTTTTCATTATGGTAAAGTGACTTATGTCACTTTCAAAATAAACGGCTCATATAAAAGTTCGCTGGTTCTGGGAGAAGAAGAGGCGCTCTGTAGTTCAATTTTGAAAATTTGTCAACAAAACAACTCCTGTATGTAGTACAATACGCGCGGTACTGTACTAATAATAAATAACTGCTCCAGTCATCCAACACAGAGGTCCACGATTCTTTCAGGAAGAAATTCCGAAAAATCCCAATTTCTTCGGACCCCTGACCCGCGAGCATTATTCCATAAAGCTCTACAATTGATGAATTCTCACCCCAAAGTCTCCACAGCGGATTTCAAAAGGAACCCCTGCTGCTCGATCATGGCGAGCCTCGAATTTTTCCTGAGCACGGAAGTGCCGAGTGTAATGGCGTCCAGGTCGCAACAAAGAGTCTCATTCTTCCCGGTATTCTCCGACAGAATTTCATCGACTTTCCTCGCCGCCTCTCTCCTCGTCCTATGGTCGAGGGCACCGCAAATTTCTCGACAGGAATTCTTCAAGGACACATCGAACTTGAATCCCTTCGACATCTGTTGGCTGGTGAACGACGCGACTCTCAGAATCTCGTTCAGTTTGAACTGTTCGTTGCAGCAACCGTCGTAAACATTCAGCAGAACATCCTGCTGGCTCGTTTCCCTTATGCCGCATTTGTTCAGCAACGATCTGACATCCAGGGGGTTGTGTTTGAGACGATTCTGTGGCGTCAGCACGGCGATCTCTACACCTCTGTTCCGCATCGCTCTAAAATCGTAGAATTATAGTCGTAAGTATAAGATAGACGTATAAATGAAAAATAAATAAGATAGCACACACACAATAAATATGATAGATAATAAATAAGAATAAAAGAGATATAGGAAGATTTGTTCACAGTTTAATTTCATTGATATAGTATATAAGTCGAAATATAAATTGTTGATCGGTGAGTTTTGTTTAAGAAAAGTTCCCAACGATTGGGTTTAATAATATTGCAACAGAATGTTGTTATAAAAAAGATGAAATTGAATTGGATAACAGGGGTTTTTTTATTTAATGAATCATAATGGTGTTTAAGAATCAAATTTCATTATAACGTTGGTACTTGTGAATGAAATTTATTAATATATGTTTAACTGATATTGAAACTATTATTATTATTATTATACAGTATTATAAGAAGACTGAAAGTTCGCCTAATAACAAAAGTACAGAAAAGACGTCAAATAAAACTTGTAACAGATTGGAAACAAATGTTGCTATTACCATTATTGCATAACACTATTCCATTATAATGTCTACATAATAAATAATAATGTTTAATATGCAACACACTTACATAATATAGTATACATAGTAGATTTATATAATAATAATGACATTTATTTCCAAACATATAGCGCAATGCTAATATAACAATAACTGACCTGGTATTTATTAAAACTGTTTAAACAAACGTGTTAAATAAAGTTGTATAAATGTAAAAAGATCGTAAAATCAAATAATGCTTGGCTTTAATTACATTCTGTGATTACATTTTTTGATTAACTACTATGATTTTCTATGATTATTTTCTGAAAATGGCGTCGTCGGAACCACGTCCGTCGGATAACGTTGGTGTTCTCGGCCGCAGCAGTCGAGGGTAAAATGAAAAATAAGTGGAAACCGGAAATTGATTTAATGGTTTCCCATTACCTGGAAATTTCGCCGTAACGAGGGTTCATAGTGAGAAACAACCGGAAGTTCTTGTGGGCCCGCACGGTGAACACATTTCCGCTTTCGTCGACGCCTTTCTCACCTATCGTTAGTGCGCCGTTAGGCTCCAGCAGTCCATTCAATCGGTCCAATATTGCCGGACTGCAGAGATTTACTTGGTCGAGCAGCAGCCACGTGCCATTTCGCAGACACTGCGAGAAAATCGTCGGAAAAATTACAAACATCGCAACGCAGTACATTTCGCCCGGAAATCGTCTCCACTTTCTTCCTCGACTTTTTCGATTCATTTTCATCGGGTCATACAAAGTTTCAAATCGTTCACTCAAAACAGAGTTACTTCATTTTAAAAAAGTGTTCGATTTGCATCGCTATTTCGTCTGTCATTATATCGTAATTTTATAATTTTATAAACTAGAACTTCATATTATAATTTATTTTATAAACTATAAATCTTATTTTTATAAACTATAAATAAAGTTCGAAGCAATGGCAATTTTATGGACATTCTTTTTGCACATTCTCCGACCGACTAGATTTTTCAGCATCTCAAAGAAATTCAAGTTTGCCATTATACAATATAATAATCTTGATTATACAGAGTGTCCTAAAATTATCGTTCAAGCAAGAAATCAGAGGTTCCTGAGGTCATTTGAAATAACTTTTTCCTTAGCGAAAATGCAATCCGCGATTTCATTTACGAGTTATCAACGAAAAACGCTGACCAATGAGAGGCGAGCTCAGCTGATGCGAGGCGGCCAAGCCAATGGACGGAACTGAGCTTCGTGCGCTCAATTGTATCAAAATTTGGTGGTAAAAATTCAAATCTGTTGGTCCAATCATAACAGAATATGTACATTCTATTTCAAAAACCGTTCGATTTACGTCTCAACTTCGTTTATCGAAACGATATAAACGATATAAAATCCGCGAAAATGTTGGCTTCCCTCCGTTTCTCCCAGTATAAAATTGTTAGACGAAGCCTTCTGCTTTTTCTAGATCGGTTTTTGCAGAGTAGCCACTGCAAATATGTTTGCCTTGCGAATAGGTTGTCGCGAATCATCGGAAGCGGCCGGAAATATGTCGGGAATTGTGTTTGCAAGGCGGCCGGTGCCGGTTCTTAACTGAAACAAAGACAATATTTACCTTGACAAGCACGCTGTCAACCCACTCGAATTTTCCGCCGGCGTTCAAACATTTGTCTTTTTCCACGGCGATCGATAGATCGGTCAGTTTTTCCGCGATGCCGCGCAGCAGCTCGGTCTGGTCCGGCGACGACACTGTTTCCATGGCCGACACAAGTCTCGATAATTCCTCGGCTTTACGGAGGAACAGCTTCGTTTCCGTCAACATTGTCGTTGTTGTCCCGTCGTCTGCCGAAGAAAAATTGATCGCGAATGAAATATGCAGGAACAACCTCGCCGGCATTAAATCCCGCGCACCGACGTTTCTCTTTGGGCATCCTTTCTGTCGCGGCTAATTTTCACGTTTTTATGGGGGTACGATTCAACGTTTTTAACGTAGGATTTACCACATTTATGTTGTTTATCGGTTTTACATTGGGTTTTACTATTTTTAATGTTTTAATTATTCTTCCTATTTTTACTGTCTTTTACCATTTTTATCGTTTTTATCGTAGGCTTGCCATTTTTGTGATCATTTCTCATTAATTAGAAATCATTCAGCATCGGTAAGATAAATTATTCAAAACTTGCAAACACTTGCAGGGTGAAAGTTGAATGCATAAAAATCAAATACAAATCAAAAACACGTTAAATAAAATGATATAACAAATTATTAAAAATATATGTTGCGATAAATCCAAGTTAAATGTTCGAAACTTAGAGAGAACGAATAGAAAATATATTAGAATTATATGTTGAATTAAGATTATTATTTATATTATTTATATATATTATTAGAAATATATGTTGCAAAAAGTCCCAGTTAAATGTTTGAAACTTGAAGAACAAAGAAAAAACACATAAATTAAATGATGCAACAAATTATTAGAAATATATGTTGCAAAAAGTCCCAGTTAAATGTTTGAAACTTGAAGAACAAAGAAAAAACACATAAATTAAATGATGCAACAAATTATTAGAAATATATGTTGCAAAAAGTCCCAGTTAAATGTTTGAAACTTGAAGAACAAAGAAAAAACACATAAATTAAATGATGCAACAAATTATTAGAAATATATGTTGCGAAAAGTCCCAGTTAAATGTTCGAAGCTTAGAGAACGAATAAAATCCAAATATTACAACAGTAATGATCCGAGTACGAGTATGCTTCAGTACGAGTTTAATTAAGTCTCCCACCCAGTCGGATTACCATAACGAGTGCATAAGAATTCGGTAGCGTAGGGAAGTAATTTCCTTCGCGGGCATACTGAAACGACAAAGTACCGTCGGACAAACGTCGAATGTTTTCCAGAAGACCATGGTAATGGGACACCTGATCCAAATTCTCTTTGCCGAGTCGCCTCCTCAGGATTTCGATTAACAGCGTCTCCGTGTGCTCGAGCAATTCCTCGAAGTGTCGATCGTAATCCGTCTGTAACAGAAAAAGATCGCAAGAAACGTTAATTCGATTTCTGTCCTGGAATAGCTCTATTTGTTACTGTTTCCGGTACACGTGTTCCGGGGACCTGTGAACAACGCCGCTGGCATTGTGCTTTTAGACACTTTTACACGCTCTCTCTCTCTCTCTCTCTCTCTTTCTCTCTCTTTCTCTCTCTCTCTCTCTCTCTTTCTCTCTCTCTCTCTCTCTCTCTCTCTCTTTCTCTCTCTCTCGACTAACTAGCTGACAAATGTTTTAAACGATTATAGAAGTTAACTAATTGTGTTTCACTGGGAAAATTACTTCTTCGATAATTTTGCAGTCTGCACAACATAATTTATGAGTAGAGATTACATAGTTATTGATTTATTCTTGTTTCATTTTCATTAGTCAATTATATTCTCATTAAATTGTCATCGGTCAATTGTTCTCAGGAATTTACAAATATGTAATTTTCATTTCTAAACTATTTTTACATCTTTCTTATCAACCAATTGTTTTTAGTCATTTCTATTTGAAAATTGCTTCTGTATTATTGTCAAATTATAGATCGTTGTGCATTTAGTAACATGTTAATAATTACTGTAAAATATTATTTTAAATAATTAAAAAATTTAATTTTTAATTTAATTTTAAAATATTAATTATTATTTAGTTATCAATTATTAATGATTATTTAATTATTAATTATTATCTAGTTATTAATTAATAATTATTATTTAATTATTAATCATTTAGTGATTATTAAGTTAATAATTACTGC